TCTCTGAGTGGAGGTTTGCACCATTTTGGATGCAACTTTTGTGTTTCTCATGCTGCGACTGCATGTGCGTCTGTAGCCCGTATGAAGTGAATGGAGGAAGAAGGGTGACGCTCCTCACTTCACAACACTTGTTTACTTATTTTGCACTCGTTAAAACAGGGCACCAGCTGGTCAACAACAACTTAATTAATATATTCACCCTTTAATAATCAGGACTCTGTCACTGAAATAGAATCTATTAATTACAGGGACTTCTAAACCATAACAAATGGATATTCATCCAAATGAAGAGACCAAAGTTGTCTTTGAAGTTTTATTGCAAAAATAATTAATCAAACTAAGACTCAACAACGATAGTAAACAATCAAACAACATAAGTGATAAAGGATAATAATTTGTAGAATAAACTGGTTTTAAAAGTAGTAAATCACTCTGATTTACTGCTTGATTACTCTACACCACTGATTTCACATGATTTCAATGTAATGATTTAAAACGATAATCAACATTATTCATGTTCACACCTGTTTTAATCAAATAAAATAAACTTCGTTACTGATTTGTTTGTTTTCTTTCTTCAAAGCATAAAAGATAACGGGTGAACATTAGTCAGACTGTAGCTGACTCTGACCATGGACGGTGAACGTGTGAAAAACACCAGACATTATTCAAGTTAAAAGTAACTTTAAAGAACACAGTTCATGGTGAGTCTTGAAGACAACTCAAAGGTCAGGGGTCATAGTCAGGGGAGTGCATCAGTGTTGCCAGATATTTGATAACTACCCTTTTAGCCCCACTCCTTTTAGCCTCACCCCTCATTTACAACCTCTCCCCTCCAAGAAATCACACCTCACTCAGCAGTTATGATAGTTTGGGTCAAATTCTAATCATTTTAAAGCGACAGTATTATATTTTGGAATTTCTGGCAACTCTGCCTGGCATAAAATCTACAGCAGAGTCATATTTTTTATGTTGATATGTCACAATAAACATAAAAAAAACATACTAACAATTCCAGAAATCATTCTCTTGTAAACAAAGCCTTCGATGTGGGTCTTTAACAACACACGTCTTACAATATCCCATGTGGTCGTGCATAACAAACCTAAAAATTAGGAAAATTAATTGTACATCTCATGACTTTATAAACAATACAATTAAAAAAAAGTTTAGAATTGCAACCGTTCCTGGCCATATTCTAGATATTGATTACATTTTAATGATTTACAAGAACACTTTGCTCAATTAAACATATACAAGCAGAAAATAAATAAATTTGTACATAAATGAATAAGGAGACATGTCAGTTATATTTTAGGTTTAAAATGTGTTTTACATGAAAAATCTTGAAATGTTGACATAAACACAAGCATGAAGAAACTTCATAAAATGCAGAAAACTGCAGTAGTGGAACAACAATGTTGATATTTTTAGTGTGTTTTTGACTTATTGTGGTAAGTAAGCATCTTCACGTTATAGAGTATAATTGAAAATGAGGATTTTGTGGTTGTATAAATAACCTTTTTTAGGGGTCTAAGGATTTCATTCAATTTGGAAACATTGCAGTGGAGATAATTACTCTTTTCACTGAGGTGGTGATGGTTTAAATTTCCTTCATCATTCCTGAGTAATAGAAAGTGTCAAAACTGTCATGACACACTACTTTGAACACTCCCACTTATCCTTGCTGAATTAAAATAGACCTGGAGGGGGGAGGCTTTTTCTTTCCCATGACCACCTCTGCTGCTGGTGCAAATGAAAATGCCCTTCCCAAAATAGATCATTTTTACCCTTCAGATGTCCACTTTTATTTTAAGCCCGGTGACACCATGCCATCCATCACACTCAGCTTTTTTCAGATGTGAGCAGCCCGGGGGGAAAGCACTGATACCACGCAGGGGGAGTGTGATAGCGTGCTGTTGCTGAGCTGTTAGGCTTTCTATGGTTAGATTTCCACTAATTTAATCTCAGAGCAGCGTTTAAACAATTTCTTTTGAGTAAAGGGGAAGTTGCTTTCCCGTCTTCAGAGTAAACATTGAAAATTGATGCTCTGCCTTTCCAGCTCTTCCCTCAAATTACCACTTGACGTGGCCAGATATCGTTCTGGATTCTTGTCTGCCAGGAAAAGGCACATCTAAATGCTTTATTGGATGTTTTGGCTGGGTGGAAATTGTGCAAAGTATACCCAGCACTTTGATAGTCTTGACCTGGAAACGTGATAGTCACCCCACTTCACAGACGCCTCTGACACCTGGGTAACTGGATCTGGCATTCTCGATACACGATCTGCGCCGCAGAACTAAAGACTTAACTTCTCCGGTTTCATAGACTGCAAGCGCAGAGTTGGTGGCAACCGGAATTTCACAGGGCTCAGACTGGGGGTCTTTGTCCCCAACTCCACAAGCCAAATGAGTCTTGTAGGATTTGAAGTCTGGGTGGGAAAAGATGATTAGCAATATTCTCAAAGCTTCGTCTTGCAACGCAGAAGGTGAACTTGTGTGCATGAAAAGACGTGTTAAGTTCTTTTAAATCATCAGTTGAATCTCAGGTGGATTCATCTGCAATGTTTCCTGCTGTTCTTGCCTAATTTCATCAAGTTAAATACAATTTTGGGGGGAAAAAAGCAATAATGGATGTGCAACTTTACACTGCAATGTTTCAATTATTGCAAACATTGTTTTGGATTATTCAATGGTAAATGGACTGTACGTATATAGCGCCTTTCTATCTTATCAAGATACTCAAAGTGCTTTCAACTACAATCTGTGCCCTCATTTACGCATTCATACAGCACTATAGGTCTCCACAAAGCTAATCTGAATCTGTGGAGACTAATCAGTGCTTTAAATCACATTTATACATCGATGGGACACGCATCGGAGGCAATGAGGGGTTCATTGTCTTGCCCAGGGACACTTCAACATGTGACTGCTGGTGGAATCAAACCCCCAACTCTCCCATCGGAGGACGACTGCTCTAACCACTCAGTCACATTTGCCCCAAATTATTTCCCCAGATTATTGATTAATTAATGCATCATGTAAAAATTTGAGTAGCTTTTAAGAACAGTTGTACCATTTCCTGTGGGGGTGGGTTTAAAATTTAATCTTAAAACTGTTTTTACTACTTTTATGCCACAACACGAAAAGGTAAAGGCGGATAATAATGTATTTGCCTGCGTCTGTATGTTACCAAAATATTTCATAAACCACTGGATGGATTTTGAAGAAACTCCTACGAAATAATCATCGGAGGTACAACTTATTAACTATTAGAGCCAGTCCAAATCAAGATGGCTGCCACAGCCAATAGAAGTTGGAAAACACGAGAATGGCTATATTTCAGCAAATTTTGCAGATAATCTGCTAAGTTTTGGTGTGACTGTAGATGAGAGTCATTCACACCACAAACTCTGAGCGTAACATCTTGTGATATCGTGAGTTTACACATGACGTTATTTTCTTAAACTTTAACTTGTCAGTGCAGTGAGAAATTAAACTTTTTCTCCAAACTTATGTTATTGAAAAAACTTCCTCAACAGGTAAATTAATAATTGTTCATAACTTTCCCACAGGAACACTTCAGAATATTTGAATTGCCAACAAAATACGTTAGTGCCATCACTTTTTAGTCCATCGGTCTATCTTTTACTTCAACGTGACAGCAACGGTGTTGGTGTTTGAAGTAAGCTCCACCGAGGCAGCGAGCGATTAGAGAAAGTGTTCCTCGGCTTTTAAAGTTCACCACCCTTCAGGATACCTCATCGTGCCTCAGGTCTTTGATCAGTGTTAACATCACGGTAACCATGACAGTTTATTTTCCACTTCCTCAAAAAAAAAAAGACTGTTTGTGTTAGAGAACAATCTAATCCGCCTCCTTCTCTGGCACATTGGCACACCTTAAAAGAAAAATGTCAGGGTCAGAAATGGACCATTAGCTCAGAGAGTCCTTTTTCTACTCTTATACCCACTGAAAACACCTTTTTCAACAGATGATACCACGACACATCGACCACAGGCTTGACCTGGGCCTAAACTTTTAAGGGCGTTTAAAAAAAGAAAGCATTCAAGCCCTTGGGAGGACGGATGATTGCTCAATGAGTGACTGACACCTTGAATGGCTAATGAAGAATTCACCTGCTTTGCATGGCTGTATTGTAATACCTTGTACATTAAATTAACTACATAGTCACCCTCCATTCACTGGTGTTATACTCTTTTCTTTCCCCCCACCGAGGTCAATCCTGTGTTGCTGCAAATGTCATAGTGCTTTAATGAGAACTGCTCTGTACTCACAATAGAAGCTTTTCAGCCAGATTAAATGTATCACTGTGCTGAAACTTTCCTTAACCCGCCCCCCTCCAGCTTTGCCCCTATTGTGACACAGTGGTTTTACAGAGGAGCTTGTTGCTGAAAAACAAGGTTAAGAAAGATCAGTATCAAAGGAGGAGAGTTTTTGTGCGGCTCGCTGGAGAGTCTCGCTTCAGGTTTCCACCCGAAACACAAAGGTGTTTTCTTACCTGATTTGTATTCATTCACACAATGAGTGGGCCTGCCTCTCTTGTTTCCAAGTAAGGAGAGTCCAGACAAGACTTTTGTTCGCCCTATCATTGGATACGTGCATGTTGCTTCCTCCAGTACGAGCCTTGGAGTCCAGCAACGGGTTTTGTCCTGAATGGATCCCATCCCCCCATCTTTGTTGCTTTTTACAGATAAAAAAAAATGTTTGAGCACTGCTGTTGGTTTCTTTTCTTTTGGGTCTAGTGTTCTGTCAGTCATATCAAACTGTGCCACCCTAAAACTGCCCTGTCAGAATCCCAAACCCACAAATTACCAGTTTGAAAGAGTTTCAGTTCGTAAGAGCCCGTCACGGCTCAGTCCCTGCTGGCCCACATTAAGCTGTCAAAACACAGATAATGTTGCCCGTACGCTGAAACTTGTTCCGATTAATTTGTTTGATTCAGCCGGTGTCAATCAAATTGTTTATGACTTCTGTTTTAGGGGTTTTTCCTGACTGTGTCTCCAGAGTCCATCCTCATGGTGGCAAAGCACGCTGCAGAGAACAACAAAATCTTCTGCGTGAACCTCTCAGCGCCGTTCATCAGCCAGTTCTTTAGAGAGCCTCTGATGAAGGTTATGCCTTACGTTGACATCCTGTTTGGCAACGAGACGGTGAGTGAAACCAAACTTTAGAGCCCCTTTCTTTGTCGACACATTCTTTTGAAGTTATTTGTACAATGTAGGGATGTGCGATATGGCATAAAATTCATATCCCGATATCTATTGTGATGGGTGGCAGTAACGATATATATCATGATATGTTTTTGGTATAAAACTTGCAATAGGAATGAAAAAAAAAAAAACAGGGTGTCACTTTTCCATCATTTATTTAGAAAACTGCTATACCACAAAATAATCTCAATCAAGAAAATTCCACTACTCGATCCAGAGAGTTTTTCAATAATGAACAAGTCAAGTATTAGGCTTTTTTCTTGTAGTGCAAAACAGTGCAAAATATATCAAATGTAGTTTTAACCATATGTTTTAAACAAAATAATATGTTGTTAACTCTTAACAGTTTACAGTCTTTTCACTTAAGAAATGAACAGCAACAGAGCAGCATTTTACACTAAAAACACTTCACCATCCAACCCTCTAGTCTCCTTCCGCTTTAAGGAGAACTGACACAAAATGGTGACCAGTTTCCTCTGTGGCTTTGACCAGAGAGGGTCTCGCAGTAAAATCATACAACACCGCGTTCTTTTCACAGATCAGAGATCAGATTTAACCCTTTTTATTTAGCACAAATGCACTCTCTAAAGCGGACCAACGCTTACTTTAACTTTCTACGGAACACAGCGTTTTGCGCACATGTCCGAGTACGGCAACAGTACGGCAAGCCGGCCGTAGTCGGCGTGTAGCTTCTCTACTTAGCTCTCGAAGAAAACAGACTTTAACACCATTTATGCACAGTTTAAAAAAAAAAAAAAAAAAAAAAACGTAACGGTTAAATCTGACAACTCTAATTTTACATCAGACACAACATTACTGCGTTAAGCCGGTAGAATGCAGATCTCTATTATATCGTTTCTACCGTGTACTGTATATGTCGTGCATTCCTAGTACATGGGGCTTTTTACTTAACCAATGTCTGCACATCTACAATTAATTAACTTTTAAAATCATATAAATTCAAGTTGGTTTGTCAAAAATTACAATATTTGAGTTAATTTTTATAGATGTTGAGCTACACTTTGGTGTGGTAGTAGCTGAGAGTCAACCCCAGCACATATTCCAAGTGCTCACAAATCATTTGAGGTCATGTGAAATATATTGAGATTGTGCATAATGTTATTTTAAAAGTTTGATGGTAACAACTCTGTAATTTCTCACCAAAAGATGATCATGGTCTAAAACCCTGACATGAAAGGCAGTGGGCAATACGCAAATAACAATAACCTTCAATGTTTTTTCCTTTCTTGGAGTATTACAATTAGTTATCATCTGCAGGTCTTTCTATGACACATCACTACGGAACTGCTAATGTATTTTGCGTACCATTCAGTAAATGCAACAAATGTCATCTTTGTTATTTGCATTAGAGATACCAATGTCGCTAAAATGGCCCCATTTTATTAGTAAGAACTGGTGTGAATTTTCACATTATTTATACAATCATTAATTTTACTAATCTTTAATTTGGTGCCACCCTGAGTTTGAATAGTCCAGTTTTAAGTGAGCTGTCTTACTTCTTACTGGATGGATTTTTGCAAAATATGCTACAGTCCAAATACCCATGTCCTCCACTGGATGAACAGATGCGTCTCTGTGATTTGTATGTTTTGCATCATATAACCTTTCGCCTTGATCAAAATTGTTTTTTTTAAGAACAACTGTGAAACATTGATGGGATTTTTTTTTTTTTTTATCTTAGCTTGTGACTTCCTTCTCCTTTTTGGCCTTGGGTCCAATGGCTGTTGCACTATCATGAAAGGTTGCGATGTTTGGTGGCAGGTTCTTGTTTTATCAATTTGGCTAAATAATTAACAAAAATCATTGTATGTCATGAGAGGCACTAGTTAATGTTGTGTTTTTGATTATATTACCAGGCAGACCTAATGCACATAATCATTATTTTTCTATTATAAAGACAGAGTATTGATTTGATAATGACTGTTTTTTTGTTTTTTTTTACTTCTCCCAATGCTCAGTAGAAGAAAGTCTGGCTCACATTGAAAAAAAATTCCCCAACACTTGTGCTTTTAAAACTACAATGTAGTCTTTCTATGATTGCTTTAAAACCCACAAACAGAGGTGTTGTGTCCTTTTTTGTGTCATGGCAGTTTGAAAGCTGTGGTAATCTGTTAAACCCGACTTTGTTGGAAGTACCGTCTGCAGTGGAAAGTAACTTAAAGAAAATTACCTGATGCTAAAAGCAAGAAGAAAATAGTGAAAGTGAGCTTCAATTTGCAACAGTAACGCAATCTTAGAGGATATGGTAAATATAGAGTACTGTACTTGTTTTACCTCGTTAACCTGTTAATATTAGATTTTAGTCTTTTTAGTGATCAGTTCTCGTGCAGATTATAGTTAGTCTTCATCAAAGGCAGAGTGTGTATTTTTAAAGAAACTTCAAAAAGTAGTTTTTAGATCAATGGTGCCATCATGTTCAGAATAAATCCATCCAGAAGCTTCACCGTGCTAAAGTTACAGCTGAATTAGTTTTGCAGTTATTTAGTTATGTCACAACCAATGCATTGTGGGTAATTAGTTAAGGTTAGAGCTTCTTGAGTGCTTTAAACATCAGGCTAATACCGTATCCTCCAACTTTGCTTCAATTTAGATTACAATTATGTATCCCTTGTTTGATTTCCATAATTGTTCTTCTCCATATCCATTAAACGTCTCACTTATCAATGACCCATAAAGAGATTAATAGAATTAGCCCGGCGATCATTCATCTCAGACTCGGCATCGTTTCATGCCGGTTGATCCATTGATTTTCCTCCGCTTTGTGGAGGCACGTCACCACTTGGAGGTCAAGCTGTGGGCACAGGCTGCAAGTGTTGCTGGGAAGTATCCTCTAATAGGCCAGATTAGCTTCACTTGGAGACACCACCTGGACAAACTGTACCTTTACGGGGAGGGGGTGGAGTGGATGTTCATGTTCAGAGTAGAGATGGCAGCCACAGAACAGGACAGAGCTGGAAGAAACCGCTCAGCGTTTGAGGATTTATTGCTCTTGCTGACTTCAGCTTTTTCCCCTCTTTTCTTTCCGCAGCTAACACAAGGCCTCTCTTTTACATAATCTCTTGCAAGGGACAGTTCTGTCTCTTAAACTCTTAAACTATGATGTACGTTGGTTTTTTTTTTAAGCTAGGTGTTACTTGAACTTTTTGCTCACGCCTTTTAGTCGATACATTTCAATCACTGTGGAAGATTGCCATTCGTGCTTGTTAAAGATTATCTTTTGAGGACTTTGTCAGGACTTGTGCCTAAGAACGAACCGAAAAGATTTTCAGTGAGAAACAGAGCAGATATTCACACCTCAGCTGCCTGAAGCAGTTAGGGCTTCAAGGCTCAAGACTAATGTCTGTCCAGTCTGTTTTGAAACACCCCCCTCCCTGCACACACCCCTACACTTTTGCCACTGAGGGGGGAGCGGGGAATGACTGCTCATACAGTCAAGCCTTGGACCTCCCATTGTGCACAAGCCAGACAAGGTTGGCGGTCATGCAGTGGTGCATGATGAGTGACAGGCAACAGGGCTTCCTCGCCCACGCTTTCCCCCCCTCCGGCCCGCCTGGCCGTCCTTTCACCCCAACTTCCACCCCCCAATGTGATGGATAAGCCTCTGCCTGCGATGCTTTCATAACAAGTCAATGACAGTCAGCATCATGCAGTCTGACTCCTATTGCCTCGCAGAATGTGCCATAAGGGAAGGCTAATGTGTCTGCCTGTCTGTGCCTTCTCCCACACTCTCTGAGTCACCATACCCTCACTGGGGAGGGAAACATGCTTAAAGCAGCTATAACATCTCATGCTTTGAAACCGACTGGCATTAAATTCAAACAAGGTAGTTTTGGAGAATCGATTGCACCGCTATTTGTCAAATCTAGGACCTCATTTCACCCATTTTCTTCTGCTCGTTTGTAAGCCAGAAACAGTTACGCAACACCAGACTTGAAAAATATCATTAGTTTCAGTTTCATCTTTTTCTGTTTTTGCCTCTGCATCAGAAGTGGAGACCGTGTCTGTTTCCACCCTGGGTGATTCGGCTATAACTCAGTCCTGCTGGTACTTGTTTAAAACCTGGCCTATCGGCAGCCTCGTGCTTATATAACTGTCTCCCATCCATCCTGTAATTACTGCCTTTTTGGGGCATAGTGTAGTGTCTGTTCCTTCGTCGTTGGGGCGGGGGGTCCGGAGCACCATGGTTTCTGTGTTGCTTTTGAGATGGCGTCGACAGAGGCGCACAAGACATCAGAGGCTACTTCACTTAATTGGCATACATGTCGTGTGATAACCTGGGAACGGCGCGGGCCTAATTGAGTCCTTCTGTCTCTTCCTCCTCTTGACTACCTGACATAGAACCCAGGGCATTACATTTCCCTCAGTTTAATGGCCGCAGTTAATTAGAACCGAATGAGGGAATCATTACTGCTGGAAAACCACATGCCAGTGGATTTGTCGATGAAATTATCCACAATTTGCTTTTGCTATTGGAGCATTTGACATAAACCGCACAATGGGGGGGGAAGGATTAGATCATTACTGGCAGATTTGTATTGTGTAAAGTTAGACATAGCATAAACCAATAGAAAGATTGATCAAGAAAGGGTTAATCACCCTGACTGATTTTTTTAAGCCAGACTTTCTTAATTTAGATCTTTTTTTTCTCAGCAAATAGTTTAAAAATCAGCTTGTTCGATAAAAGAATGCCACTTGGTTTTTTTGCCCTACGGCCGCCAACCTCTTCACTCCTCCACCATTAACATTATATATCATCCCCATACATGGAGCTCCACATGCCTTCCATTGCTGTCCAATGAATTCTGCAGCCCAGCACTCAGAGGGAGGGTATTTATATGGGCCCCAGCCCCGTCTTCCAAATGAGAGACAGTCATTGTAATTGAATACTCAATAGGTGAGCCATTTAACAAAAGTGGAAA